AACCTGAAACATGTTTCATATGGGACCTAAATTTTTTTTTTGCTTCACTAATTTATTTATTATTAAAATTAAATATCTTCTCATTTTTACTACTTGAAGTCTTGCCTTGTAACATGTACATGTCTGTTTAACAATAAAGTACTAGAAATTACAACAACCATTTGAATATTCACCGACTAAAATCAACTAATATATGTAAATATTTAAAATAATAAAGAATATCGAGTGCATGTTAACCCCCCTCCCCCTCACCCTCCCCTTCTCCATTTGGTACAAATTCTTTAAATCTCCTTTTTTTTTTTTTTTTTTAAAAACTTTTTTTTTTTTTTTATAAACTCTTTTTCAATCACATTATCATCCAATATAATAATTTTGCACGTGGACCCAAAAATTTTTGCTATTTTTTAATCACCTAAAATATCACTTTTCAAAAATTCTATTCTTAAAAAATCTACATGAAACGTGCTAAAGCATTGCAACCCAAAATCTTCTCTGTCGAAAATCCTACTCAGTTGTTTAATTTTTACTGCTATAGTCTTGCATGACATCTTGAATATCGGAAAATGGACTTAAAAAAAATTGTGATAACTTCAGGAAAAGTGGTTACAAATGCACATCAAACTTATCCATCAATCTCAATTCAATACATAAATTGAGGGAATTTCCTTTTATGGGAGTGTCTCAATTGAAGACGAGATGACATTTTGTTAACGGTAATGTCAGTGTCAAATGCACTACTTGAAGTCTTGCGTTGTAACATGTACATGCTTGTTTGACAAAAAAGTAATAGAAATTTCAAGAACCGTTTAAATCTTCACCAACTAAAATCAACTAGTAAATATTTAAATAATAAAGAATGTCGAGTGCATTTTAATCCCCCTATTTGGTACAAATTATTTAAATCTCATTTGTTTCAAACTCTTTTTCTACCACACTTTCATCCAATAAAATAATTTTGTACGTGGACTCATAAATTTTTGCTATTTTTTAATCATACATTCTCCTAAAATATCACTTTTCAAAAATTCTATTCTTAAAAATCTACATGAAACATGTGCTAAAGCATCGCAACCCAAAATCTTTTCCGTCAAAAATCCTACTCAGTTGTTAAATTTTTGCTGTTATAGTATTGCATAACATCTTGAATATCGGAAAATGGACTAGAAAATTTGTGCTAACTTCAGGAAACGTGGGGACAAATGCACATCAAACTTACGCATCAATCTCAATTCAAAACATAAAATTGAGTAAATATCCTTTGATGGGAGGGTATCCATTCAAGACTAGATGACATTTTGTTAACAGTAGTTGCAATGTCAAATGCACGATAAAATTGATAGCAAGTTTATATGAATTAGGTTTTGATCACATAAATTGTACACATGTTGATAGATGTCATGTATCAATTTAAGTGAAAATTCAATGTCTCGAATACTTATATAATTAATTTCTTTAATATTATTCGAATCAACATACTAGATAGTTACACCATAAATACTTCTCACCTTTTTTTCGCATTTTTACAATAACATGTGAACAACAGTTTATCTTTCTAATTCAAAACTTTTTGAAAACCTTATATAACTTTGCGGTCCCATTCATGACATAAATTAATAATTTGCTAAAATTACAAATATAATTGATTATGAAATTTAATTAAAATATGACTCTATTGTTATTTCTTCTTTTTATGAAATTTGAGTCTAGTTAACTATTCTTTTTATTGCATCTAGAAGTTTTGGGTTGAATTCTGAAACTACAACAAAAATTATGAAGCATTGTTGATGTTTTGAGTGCTTCCTTGCTCTTCATATGTTCCAAAGATATTGTATCATCCCCAAGTTCATCATTTACAAAATCTTCAGTATTTTCGGCAACAATTTCTTCTAAATTTGAAAACCTCTGAACTTGCATCATTTTCACATATTCATTCTATCACGTGTGTTACTCTTTATTATATTCGCATAATGCTTTATGCATCTTATTTGTCATATTTTTTTTTTTTAACACCTTCTTGATGAGAAGCCACTCTAACTATGAAATATAAGATGACTTCATATTTTTTTATATAAAAAATATTTTTAATCTAATTCATTGAATACATTTAATTAAATTAATACAATTACATTGAATATTATTTCAATAAATTAATAAGACAATAATATTTTGAAAACCTTATATAACAATATAACATTGTAGTCCCATTCTTCTTATCATAAATTAATAATTTACTAAAATACAAATATAATTGATTTCAAAATTTCATTAAAATATGACTCCATTGTTACTTCTTTTTATTTTTGAAATTTGAATCTAGTTAACTATTTTTTCTTATTACATCTAGATGTTATAGGGTTGAATTTTGGAACCACAACAAAAAATTATGAAGCATTGTTGGTGTTTTGAGTTCTTCCTTGCTCTTTAATTAAATTAATACAATTACAATGAATATTATTTCAAAAAATTAATAAGATAATACTTTTATGAAAACCTTATATAATTATGTGGTCCCATTCATAACATAAGTTGGCAGAATACCTCCAACCTTTCATATTGGCGCAATAACCTCCTTACCTTTCATATGTTATCTCGAAGGTATTCCATTAAAATGAAAGGATATGGAAGTATTCCATAATATAAGCAAAAATTCAGGAGGATTTTGCACCCTTTACCCTTTCAAATTCTGAATTTGTAAATTCACCTTTTTTTTTTTTTAAATTTTAAAAATACTTAAAATAAAACAAAATTAGATTTTAAATAGCAAATTAGTTATATGTATCATTGTTCTAAAAGGTGCGCATTGGCTGGCCTAGACGTCGCCAATGTGCGATGCGCAGCTGAAACACCAAGCCAAGATGTTTGGCGCCTTATTTATCGATCAACGACAATTGTTGACCGTTAATGAGCGGTTATGTGCACCTAGGCACGCATAATTATCTTTTTTTTTTCTTCTAAGTTATAACTTAAATGTTGATTTCTTCACTTTATCGATTCTAAATTCAAAATAGGTTGCTTGAAATCTTGAACAAAGGAAATCTCCCAAAAATTCCTATTTAGTTACTATTTAATATTTACATTTGGAAATTATCTTTTTGTTGAAAACTTTGGGAAAATGTATAAATTTCCTATAAATTTGTTTTAAATGTTTGGCAAGTATTATTTTTAATTATTATACTATTTTTTGATTGATTAAAGATTAAAAAAATATTAAAATAAGAAAACGCATTTTTATGCCTAAGCTCGCCTAACCCGTAACTTGGCCTCCACGCATCGCCATGATTACGCCTTTTAGAACATTGATATGTGTGCAATTATATTTTTTTTTGTTAATTTAGCGAGTTCTTTAAGATGAGGTTTTTTTTTTTTAAGGAACAATGTTTACAGGAAAAAGTTATAAAGAATCAATAATTTAAGGTTCATAATGGATTTTTTGTCGGGGAAAATTTTAATGTTTATTTTTAAAGAATTTAATTACCAAAAAAAATTGTTGGTAAAAGAAAAGCAATAACAATTTTTAAAATTAGTGTTATTATTTAAAAATTTTGGTAGTTGAAAAATAATTTAAGATCGCAAAGAAATTTTAAATAGTAATATTAAAAACATAAATAGTTTAATCAAATTGAATTTAGGCATGAAAATTTCGTCAATTAAGAAAGCCAAAATACATTTAAATTATATACTAGTTAATATTTCACCTGAAAATAAAATATGTACCTCGATCAAGGGGGCTTATCCCTAAACTGAAGAATAAGAGTAATGATATGTGGTACTTGTATTTAGGGTGTGTTTGAGCCCCTTTAATTTTAAAAGATATATTATGAAATAGTAGATTGATGGAGAATGTGTTTTTAAAAAAGAAAAAAATGTTTTAATTTGCGTGTAATATTATTTTAATAAAAAATATGTTGTTGAAATTTAATAATATAAAAAAATAATGTGGTAGAATGTGAAATAATGGGTGACAAATAAGAGCTTAGAACCTATCTATGTGACAACACAGGGCCATTAAATATAAGTCTAGTGAAATGTAAAAATATGAGACTTATTTTATTGTACGTATCATTCAACGTGATGGTGGTGTTGTACTAGCATTGCTAAGTAGCATACGCTAAACCAAATTGTAATTGCAATTTGCATGGCTTTAGTGAATTTTAAAATTACACCACTATCGAGTACTTAAACTATCATATTATTGGATGATTGAATTGAGTATTGAGTGGATCAAGTTGTACGGTCCATTAAGCTAAGTACGTGTGTTATATTGAGCTCCCAAGTAATTCAGAATCCGAGATCATTTATTTAGGTACCTAGATGCACCGTAACTTCGAGATAAGGCCTCTTTGGCAATGAGAGAATTTTGATACTTATATGTCGTGGATGCTTGCTCCAACGATCATCAAAATATTGTTTTTCGGGTTCTGTTTAACATTACGTTTTTTTGCCAAACAACCAGTCTAAATGGCTCCAATCCACAACCAATATATTCATCTCGTTTGCTTCTCAATCTTACCCACAAAGGACTAGATAACGGTGATGATTTATAGGCACAAAGGCAAGGAAAAAAAAAGGAAAAACACATGAGATGAAGGCTAAAACACAAAGTTAATTAACTGATTTTTGGACAATGGAGGAAGCCGGTTTTGCACCACAAAGGCAGCCACGTTTCTTCTATGTTCATCCACAAATCACCCACTAAAAACGGCTAGGGCAAAATACATATAAGCAGTGTTAGGTTAGGCTTTTAGTTGGACCAATAACAAGACTAAATGGGTCAAGATTCAAAATCATCCAAGAGGTAATATAAATAGGTCGGATAGAACTTTTGGACTTGGTTGTTGATAATTATTTCACTCATCTGCTGAGGTCTATAAAATATTTTCCCACATTAATATCATAACTCAAGATTTATTGGATATCAAAACCCAACTTATATACGGCATTTAAAATTTTATGTAATTCAAAGTTTATATGTATCATTTTATCATGAAACTAAAAGCCTGTGATCATCAACTTCTCAATCAAGAAATTCATCCTTCTATTCTTAACAGTGCTGATTGAATAGAATCATCGCGTTCTGTCTTTGAACTGCTTTGCACCAAATTTGGGATCCTCAGAACTATTACGACTCCCAACTTTCTCGATAGTTTTGTTCAAATACTAAATTGACGACCCTTTTGAACAACGATGAGTGGGTCCCTAGCTATTGTAAGGCTTCAAGATACATGTGCAAACTTTACAGTATTTTGAGATGATCAGGGAGTAACGACAATTGGAGTCGGGGGAACCAACTTGTGATTCGGTAAGCATTCCCATCCACTTTCCTTGCTGTGAGATACTGTGAAATGCTTGGGAACCCAATTTTCATCTTTTAGCTTTCTTTCTTTTGCAAGCTCTCTCTGCTTCTCCTCGACCACGCTCTTAGCTTCCTTGGCTTTCTCCCAGCACTTTTGTAGAATAGCTTGGCTCACCTCAGCCCATATCACAGTTGATTCACTGGGAAGAATACCCTAAAACATTAAACTCAGAGGATCAGAATCACAAGTAAATAACCAAATAATATATGCACCATTCTGACACCAGAACTCGAATATCTTGCTAATAATAGTTGAATAAACATTCACTCCTTTCCAAAGAAATGAACTAGCTTCCATTTTTGTCGACATATTTTAGTCAAACGGTGAGAAAGTTATGCTTGGCTGGTTTGGATTAACTATCCACAAGCCTAATTGGAAATATCATTGATCATGACAAAACAAAATTGAGATGAAAATTAGTAGTAATCTACCTGAAATTTTAATGTATTGACCATAATATTAACAATTGAGATTATCAGCTACATCAGACCAAGAGAACAAGCAACTATTTGAAGCTATACTTACCTTTTGGTCTTTGACAATAGGAGTCTTCAGTCCTGAAATCGCTTCCTTTGCATTGTAGATGATCGTGACTCTTTCACTAGAAACGTCTTTGATGGTCACGGTACTACAATTTACACAAGGAAAAACGAAGAGTAGAAGTCGAAAGTAGTGAATCTTGTGAAAGTAGTGAATCTTGATGGTCACAGTAATAAATCCATGTTAGTTGTCTGGTACCTGTCCCAGTGGCCATTAATCTTGTAAAGGGTCTGTGATGATGACGATAGAAAGATCTTTCCTTTAATTGACCTGTGCATTGATCGACGGGGGAAAAATGAGTTGCCTTCGTAACATATCTCTGCTTCAAGACCAGTTTCTTTACATTGGATTGTGACATTGCCCAACCATTCAACCCCAGGAACCGGTAAAAATCTGATCACAAGCTTTGGCGAGTTCATTACATAAGTTTCATTCTTATCAAGGAGATTCAACTGTCTTTTTCCATGCACCTCTGTTTCAATATGAGTCCCTATACTTTTTAACATTAATTAGGATAAAATAGTGTAGATTCATCTGTACAAAAGAACAACATTTTCTAATATGGTTTAGGGAAGAAGAGTTAAATACCGTAGAACTTGGGAATGGGCGAATGACACCATATCATTTCGATGTTTTCTTTCTCATCGGTAGCATGTAGTGCAGTCACTGGGGGATGATGCGACACCTGACATCATCAAAAATACAAAATCGCAGGATTTCAGCGACATGAAGCATGTATATGGCTAGTTGAATTGGATTCGTGGCATAGCAAGTTAGTTACAGAGTGGTCAATTTTAGTCTCTTTTTTATGATTTCGACTGAGCATCCATGACCAGGAAAAGTGGTCTGAAAATTCCTGTATAAATTCTAATTGCTAGTTCTATTTACAAAACCTTAGGCGTCATAATAAGAATCCGTGCCTAAGCAAAAATAAGAGACCATAGTGCTTCTAAATACAACTGAATGTGGTAACAGCAGAGTTGCAATCTTATTCCAGACATTGGTAAATGCTGCCAAGAAAACTATCCTGCGAACTCAACCCCCTTTTATGATGGCAAAAACCGCGAAAGCACTAAAAGGGTGACAAGGGAGCAAGTGAACTATCCCCTTTTATGACGGCAAAAATCGAGTATACTCGAAAATGTGATGTCTAAACTTATAAGAGTATCTCTGAGAGACTCCCTATTTTTAAGGAGCATATTTTATCATTTGGAGAGTATCTATAAATTTAGAGAGTTAAAATTTTGAAGTATTTCACCAAACTTTTTATATTTAACACTTAATTTTATTACTCCCAAAATATATTTATTATTTTTCTCAATCATTTATTTTAATTAGTTTTTCTCTAGATTATTTTATTATTTTTCTACATTGAAAATTGAAATACTTTGAATGCATTTAATTATAAAGAGTGAGTTTGGCTTACCAAATTTTAAGAGCCAAACCCACTCTAAATTGAAATGTTAATTTAAAGAGTCTTTTGAAACATAATTTTAAGGATTGACTCTTTAAAATAGAGAATATCTCATATTTAAATAGTCTCTTGGAGATGCTGAAATACATAAACATAATTAGTTATTAATTCATAACTAAAAAGTTGCCACCTGTCATATTCTAGAATGACCTAATACTTTCCTCCCAAATGGATATTTCAACTCTTGCTCCGATTTAAGCATAAAAACTGGTGAGTTTAGGAGGAGAAAATCCCGACTGTGTGAGAGAAATTTGTTGATCATAATTCTACCATAAACATTGAATAAGCAGAATTAAATTAGTTATTAATTCACAACTAAAAAGTTGCCACCTGTCATATTCCAGAATGACCTAAAAAAGGATGCAAATTCAAATGCTTTCCTCCCAAATAGATATTTATTTAAGCATAAAAACTGATGAGTTTAGGAGGAGAAAATCCCGGCTATGTGAGAAATTTGTTGATTGTAATCCTACCATCAACCCTAATTAGCAGAATTATCAGCATTGATAGAGTAGATGAATGTACCTGTTCAAGTAGGACATTGAGAGTGCCCCGCGAGACATGATGAGTCTCTCCAAGAATAGGATTGTAAGGAGCCACACCAAAAATCAAAGGACGTGTGGTGGATATGGACCAAGCAATAACGGATATGAATCTGTCAAGAGGAGTTTCTCCATTGTTGCACTTACTTAGCATATCCGTTTTAGTGCAGTACACTGATTCTCCATAGCATTGAAGCTGTGACTTTGGAAGGTTGAAGAGCGGTGGTAGCTGTTTTTAGCCAATAAAAATCATATATCATATATCTATCTTACCATCCTTGCTCTTATATACAAGCAATTCAGTAGCACAGTGCAAGATAATTATCGAAGGATTAACAAGAACACAAGCAATATATAGAGCTTTATTTAAACTGACACATAAAATAAATAAAATAGGAAATGGGAAATAGAGCTTGCCTGAAGGCGAATGAGATCAGATCCTGAATGGACACTACTCAACAGACGGAAAATGCGTTGAAGCATATTGGGAGGTCCATCAGAATTATCTCCCTCCAGTGATAATGGTGCAGTTAGTACAGCATTTGAATTTGCATTCTAAACGAGTGAATGATCCAATTAGGAAACTAATGATTGGGTTCTCCAGAGATAAACAAAATTCAGCACAAAATTTGTACACGGACAAAAAACATATAGGGAGAGTGAAAGGGAGGTGGAATACATACCATTTAGGAGTACTGGATTGATGGCAGAGAAAGGTTTTGAACAGTCTTCTGCAAAGAAAAGAGAACACCTATTCTCCTATATCTATAGAGAAAGTTGAGAATTCTCGTGCGTGTTCTTCCTTTTTCGTTACGTTTTTCCCTCTTTTCTCCTTTGCTCTTTTCTCTGGGACAAAGTGAAAGTTGAGAATTCTGGTGGTGTTTTCTTCTTTCTTACGGTTTTTCCTTATTCATTTGAAGTGAGTTAACTTTAGTATTTATAAACATGGGAAGAAGCCCCCCAGGGCACAGCTCAACTGGTGGATCGATCAACATTGGCTTGCTTCCAGCGGCAGGATGGAGAGTTCGATTTGCAGTGGGAACCTGTGGCCAAAAATTTGGTATGGAACAATCACTGTGGAAGAGGATCTCTTGTGCGCAAAAGTGTACAGTCAATGGGAGTAACCTGTGATCCAGTTGAGGCATATCCCGCGATTTACCCCCTCCAAGATTCTAGGGGCATGGGTCTTGGAGATCTAGAATTTAGTTTGGTGTAAACTATGATACCTGAATATAAAAAATAAAAAAAACATGGGATGAAGTAAAACATTGTGCGCACATATATATGTTGTTTAATTTATTGCAAACTTTCAGCGTGTGAATGGATTGCCCAACTTTTAGATTCCAAGGGCCAGCTCCGTACGATTTTTAAAAGAATCAATTCTAGATGTTTATGAGGGGTCCAATGTAAGGTAATTTTTAATAGCGATTTTAAAGCAATATGTAGACACACACACACACACAATACGAGTGAATGTGTACGTGGAACTATAAGCTGGCCTCCTTCGAAAATGGGGTTGTCTAATGAAGCGCCTTTCCTACTACTAATAGAATGTCGGTTTTTGTCAACTTTATTTAGGTTGATGAGGTGATTTTTTTTTTTTTTTTTTTTTTTTTTTATTAACTCACAGTTGCTATCCGAAGGTGCGCACTAGGTAAACCCCGCCTTGTGATCCTAGCCGGCAAAGGACCACAAGGAGGTAAACCAACCTAGGTTACCCATAACTGACTGGATCAAACCAAGAAAACCAATAGGCAACTCCAACAGGAATCGAACTAGCAATCTCACGATTGCTAGTCCAACTGCCCGACCAACTTGGCTGGGGTTGCCCCCTGGGTTGATGAGGTGATTTGATCTCACCTTAGGTAGTTCTAAGCGAAGGTTGTTATCACAGTCCCACCGTCGAATATAACAATTAGATCGATATATTTAAATTATAGTTTCTTGCATGAATTTTTTTACTCATAAGGGAGATTTTATTTATTATTTTTTACATTTAAGACTTAAAAAGTAAAATATGTACTTACAATTCAAATTTTAATTTTTAAGTATTTTTTACTTATAAGTAAATTATACAGTTTATAAGTTTAATTTTTGCTTATAAATTTTTAATTTATACCTGAAAAACTATCAAAATCTACCTATTTGCTAGGTTGAAAAATGACCCAAATTGCACTACACTGATAACAGATGGTTTTTAAACATTTAAAATCAGTTTCCTCACTCTCTTTCACGTCCATATATGTTAATTAACATTCAACTTCACTTAATTGAATTCGTTCGTATTCAATTATTATTTTTACAATACTTATAAAACATTTCAGAATAATGTGTAACGCATGTTCGACGTTGACTAATACACACAAATGTGGGTATGGTTCAACTAATTAGAAGCCTCGTGCAAAAATTCTTATGAGGTCAATAAAAAATATTAAATAAAGTAAATGATCATCTATAAAATTCTGTAGATGATCTCGATAGTTTATTTTAGGCAAATCTGACAGGAATCAACATTTTTTTATTTTTCAAAAGGAATTGGCAAAATTGACATTATCGGTAATCCTCGATGCAATTTGTTATTGATGTCGACAAAGCAACAACAATGTAATCGATGATGATCTCGACAAACTCATAATGCTTCGATCTCTCTGATCACCAACATGGACGTAGTCAATGTCATCTAGGGTGTAAGCTGTCCGATTTTACCGATTTTTGACAAATTTTCAAACCAAACCGTTTAAAACGGTTTGAGAAAAACCCAAACCTAAACCAAACCATTTTGAACGTTTTGAAAAAAACTCAAACCTAAACCTAACGATTTGGTCCGATTTTAAACCATCGATTTCACCATATTTTTTTGCTAGTCTGCTTTTATGTCATTAATTCATTGAATTTAATATATATTTATATCTCACTAGTCATAAATATAAAATAAACTAAGCCCCTATTTGAACCAAATTTTGGGACAAAAAAATGAAAATTTGGACCATTATTCAACAAGATCAGCCACCTTCGTTGACCTGCTATTTCATGTGTGCGATTTAGCCTTCTCTCTAATAGTTAATTTTCTCATTATGATGATATGAAAAATATGGCTCAAACAGGGGCTAAATATATCTACTATAAATTTAAATATCAACTAAATCAAAGTGAAATCACAATAAACTAAAATATAGTTTTTTTTTTCATTTTTGTTCACCTTTTTTAGGCTAATGACGATACAATAATGTTACAATACAAGTTTACTAAACTAGATATAAGGTCCAAAAAATATAATGATATCCAATAAGATCTCGTGATTATCATATCTAAAAAAAAGGATGCTGATTAAACAAAGAGAATAATCAACCACAATAATAAAGCAATTGTTTATAATATCTAAACATAACAATTACACAAGTTTACGTTTGTATGATGTTACGAAACACGTTTAATTTCAAATTCTTACTTTAATTTGCTCCAAAAAATTATTGATCTGAAACTTTATTTGTGGCAAATATTATCACCGAAAGTTTAGGATCTCTTTGTCTCCGATTTGATATAATGGACTTCAATTCAATTTTGAAGAGGCGTGAAAAATCGAAAAAAGAAGTGTGTGGCGCCGGTGGCTCAAAACTGTGTTGCATGTCGACTGAAGTTCATCTAAATTTTGAAGAGGAAAAAAGCTTTTGATAGATTATGTTAGTCTTGAAATTATTAAATATATATTAAGATTATTGGATGATAATAATAATAATAATAATAATAATAATAATAATAATAATATATCTGTATTAAAAAATTAGGAATTGACAAAAATACCCACAAATGACAAAACTATTGAATTTTACATATTTGGATAAATTTTCAAAAAAAAAAAAATCATTTTTTAATTTTTATATATTTTTTTGCCGGTCCGGTTTGATTTTAAACCGCAATTAAAATTCTCAAACCTAAACCAAACCATTTTAACCGGTTTGATTTGGGTTAAAACCATTTCGTTGACCGGGTCCACGTGGCACCAAACCGACGGTTTCTAAAATGCGGTTTCAGTTCGATTTTTCGATTTTTGCTTACAGCCCTAATGTCATCTATGGAAGTTCATTCTTTTTTTATTTTTAAATTTTTTTAATAAGTTAATAATTTATGCCTTGTTTGAGCCCCATTTTCATTTTTTTTTTGCCAAAACTCATTTTTAACCACATATTTTTCAATAAAATAATATTACACGCAAATTTAAAAATTTTCCTTAATTTTTAACCACATATTCTCATCAATCTACTACTCCAAAATGCTTTCTTTCCTGAAAATGGGGCTCAAACAAGGATTTAATATTATATCTATAACTTAAAAAATCTTATTTTTTTAATTTATAATATTAATAACGGGTAAATTATTTTTGGAACTTTTATATATCTGTCAATAAGTTAAATGTCCAAAAGTCAGTGTTTTTGGAATTTCTGTCAATAAATTATTTTTTGAGATTTCTGTCAATAAATTAAATGTCCAAAAATAAGTGTTTTTATCATTATAGAAGAAAAATATGATTCAAAGATTGCATAATAAATATATTTGGAACTGAATTTTCTAAAATTTGAGGGTCTTTTCTAAATATAGGGGTAGGGCCTTTAATCAATAACCTCGTTTGTGCAGAGATTGAGATAGGTCGGGTATGGAAAATATCAAATTCCTCATGTGTTTGTATATGGTGTCGGTATCACATTAAATTACACAAAATTCGTTTATCTAATTTCAAATATCCTCAATTTTCTTGTCGATATTTTTATGTTCATATTTATCTTTTAAATTAGGCTCTTTAATTAAAAAGAATTATTTAAAACCACACAAGTCACCAATTACCTAACTTGATGGCATTCTAAACTCGCTGTAATAATTGCCATCTAAATAATACATTTAATTAATAAAGACGCCTAAAATGTCCCTAAAAAAACTTTATAAATTAAGACCCATTAATTTCAACAATAGCTTCTAACTCATCCTAGTTGATAGTACTACATGGTAGTTGGGTAGAATAGAAATAGACATGACTTTCATGAACTCAACCTAACTTCATTCAATCGAAATAGATTGATTGATACCAAGTTTTTTATAGTAAAAAAAAAAAAAAAAAAAATTCTCAATTTTGTACTTAATTCGCTTGAGGTTGCTCAGTTGTACCAATCCCAATTAGACAGGGTAGGACTAAAGTGAGACATCTAAACTTATCCAAAATTACTAATGAATGTCATCAGTGGACAACACCAGTGACGAATCCAAGATTTTATTTGAGCATGGGCGATCGTTGACTGTCGATGGCCGCAATAATAACTAATGCCGTGAATTGAAATTACTTATATCATAGTTTGATTTGTAAGTGTGAGTGTATGTTATTTAGTAATAATTTGAAGTTTGAAAAATGGTCCAATTATTTACTTTCTTGGTTCGATTTGCTAATAATTTCAATTTAATAGAAAAAATAACTATTTTAATGATCTCACTACAGGGTCAAATTTTATTTAATATTTTTATTCTTCTAAAATATATCTTTACTTGATAAAAGAATATACAGATTTTGCTGCATGCATCGTTAACATGCGCCGACTGCCATAATGGTCAAGTGTTGCTTGATTCCAATGGAGATTACAAGTTTGAATCTTCCATTTGCACTTGTTTTAATGTCTATTTGCTCCAAAATGTGAAAAATATTAAAATAAAATAATTGCAAAAGGGCATTGCAACAGTTAAAAGTCAAACCAAATACTCCCATTCACTTGTATGGTACCGTAACCAGCTAAACAATCAGAGCTTGCTATGAATCACAGAAATATATCTAAAACTATAAATACTTTGACATCAAAAAAAGTTGAGTTATGACGAATTTAGCATGGGTGGCCGCGGGGCTCGCTAGGTGCTGGATCCTCCGCTAGACAACACTT